ATGAGAAACAATAGCCAGTATACACTGATTAGTATGTTAATACTTTAATGTATTTTTGAGATTGTAGCTGAATCTAGGAGAGACTAGATGATATAAATGCTAAAGTAAACTTTAACTCAGTAAACCCTGAGTAAACTCAGACTGAAAAAATAATAGTAAAAAAAAMTATTTCTGTAAATATACTCAAATACCACCAGATGTCTCTCAAATAAAAGGAATATAAAAATGTATTCTTTTTTATTAAATCTCCTTCCCACCATAAAATATCCCTTTAGGCACAGTTTGAACTGTTAAAAAAACTAAAGTTATATATATAAAGGCGAAATGTTGATACAAAACCAGCCAAATTCTSCTGACAGCCTCAACAGCATCAATGACATAAAAATCGAGGTTTTACATCTACTTGCACAAAATCTGCGCATTGATCTCATGAAACGCAGGCCAAAACCCCCCAAAAATTCAAAATATGCATAACTTTGTTCTTCATTACTAGATAGAAAACATTAGATTACAAGGCTCTCACTACGAACCGAACTCAGTAACAATCACATTAGTGAATTAGTTTATTTTATGAAACAGACTAAGGCCATACCTATATTGGAAAGAACTAGTACAGTCAGAGTGGTACAAGTCCACCATTATAGAGGTAGGTGTTACAGTAAAAAACTATTTCCTATCAGTAYACTCATTCCTATAATGGAAAAGAAATAATGGTAATATAAGCTCTTCATTTGGCATATGTGGCTCTCTTCATAGTGGCATAACCTTGCATATTATTGTTGAATTCAATACTGAATTATACAGTTATTGCRATCCTTTTGGTATAACAGAACTTTCATTACACGAAAGCAAACATTTTCTGTAGCTATGAGAACATAGTTATGAGAAAGTGTATATGTTTTCCAAACTGTAACAACATCAAATATGAACAAAATGCCCTCCTGTTTTTTCACAAATGTGTGTTTACCACTTCCAAATTGCATTACATATCTACTTTCTGCTTTGTTGCTATGGTCAATTAGATTCATGTCAAGAGCCTCGTGAGTGGTACTTATTTAGATTTTTGTTTKACATACAATGTCTTTCAGATAGCACTTCTTAACTGTGAGGATGTAATCTTGGCACTTCTGTAAGAAATAAACACCAAACAGGTGAATACTCTCAAAGCACAAAAAGATCTGTACATTTTTGAGGAAAAAAAAAATATTTTTTGCTTTCATAAAGAATAGTTTCTCATTTAAAATTACTATATTAATTCTGGGAATATTGCTATTAAAATTAAATTATTTTAAACATTCTGGTTTCAAATAACTACTGTGAAAATGAATAGCTGGAAAACAAAAAGTTTTGACACTGTGTAAGTGCTCAGAAATAGCATTAGGTAAACCTCATTTTGATTTTTACACAAGTTGCATGTGCAAGCATTGTATAATTGTAATATATACATACTAATAATGAATAATAGTAATGTAATGCAACTACAATTGTAATATGGTAAATATCTTTAAAAACATAATAAAGTCAAAATATATGGTAAAATTTATACCACAAGTAATAATACACACARACATAGTAGTATTATCTAAATAACTCCATCGGTAGCAAAATTAGAAGGTGCATGAATTTCTTGGTTTGCCTTCTGCCGCTGCTAATGCAGTTCAAAAACTTTATTCATAATCTCAAAATACTCTTTCATATTTTTATGCCTTTTTTTATTATCTAAACTTTCTTCATTTTGCCCTCTTCCTCCCTCTACACTTTTAGTCACTGTGGCAAATCACGACTAGCTGATCAGTTCTGGAAAAGTCTCCTCTAGCACTGGGTCACTGCTCTTGTGCTACCTCAATACGGGTGTTCACAGTATAATGACGAGCAGGAGGGATTGCAGTATGCTGTATTTCACTTATGCCTGAATGTATTGAAAGAGATGCTGATATTCTATTTACAACTTTAATTACAGTGTATTCCATTGTACTGTTTAATTAAATCCTTATAGACAAGTCCCTTTACCTGCACACCACAATGGGGCAACTACAGCAGACAACCTACRCAAGAGATTGAAAATGTCTGTAGCAAAGAGCACTGTAAAGCAGCCTTCCACAGGCAAGGAGGCAAGGCTTGTATCGTCTTTGATGAACCTTCCTATCCACCAGATTCAAAAAAAAAGCATTATCTGAGAAAGCAGGACCATTAAATCTTCCTACATTTCTTTGCAGGAAACTTTGGAACCCTATATGAACTTGCTGTTTACATTTCTGATGTCTCACTGACTGCTTATCTCCCTGTACTACTTTTTTTTTTTTTTTTTTTTTTAAAGAGTGAGATTGCAGTATCATTCCCTTTCTGCTTTCTGATTCACATTCATTTCTAACTTGTTTTTTATAYCTCCTGCTCAGTTCCTGAATTAACTGGTCAGCCCTTCTCTTTTCTACTTCCTCATGCTGAACTCTGTCCCGCTCCATCACTGAGCCCACAGCAGCAGTGACGATGGCAGGCACAGACACCAGGGCGCCTGGGGACCGGGGGCAGCTGCTGCCCTGAGGTCAATGAGGATGGCCAATACTTCTTTTTTTTTTTTTTTTTTTTTTTCTCCTCCAGAAGGCTAAAAAAGAGGATCTTATCATTTTTTACAAATACCTTAAGGGAGGGTGTCAAGAGGATAAGGCCAGACTCTTCCCAGCAGTGACCAGCAACAGGACAATAGGTCTAAGTTGAAACACAGGCAGTTCCACCTCCATGTGAGGAAGAGCCTCTTCACTGTGAGGGTGACAGAGCCCTGGAACAGGCTGCTCAGGGAAGTTGTGGAGTCTCCTTCTCTGGAGGTCTTTCAAACCCGCCTGGATGCCGCCCTGTACCCCATGCTCTGGGTGTCCCTGCTGGAGCAGGGGGTTGGGCTAGATGATCTCTAGAGGTCCCTTCCAACCTCAGCCCTTCTGTGAGTCTCTGTACTCCAGTGACCAATGGTATGTATCAATCCGCTACTTTCTCAAATGAAATGTCCGTAGTAGAAATAAGACAAATAATTGAATTTTCTCTAAAGCTCCCATCTGTCATCCTATTTTTTTAACTTGGCATATTGCATACCTTTTTATGACACTTTGTTGCTTTTCTTCAGTGTAAGGAGTATCTTCTTTTTATTTTGGGCAGTAAATTTGAGCTATACACTGTGTAAAAATATACAGATAAATAGTACAGCTATATAGATAGTGTAGTGTTTTGTATGTGTGCGTACATACCTATTAACACAGAAGCAAATCTAGAATGACTTTCTAAAATAATGTAGTTCAAGAATAGTATGCTATTCTTGAACTTGCTTGCAAAAGAATTCAGTTCTCAAAATGCAATTTAGAAAAATCATATTCCATCATTTACAGTCAGAATATTAAAGGTGACAAATAAGAATTAAAGGATGCTTAAATACATTCCATGAAATCTATTGTAAAACAATATCAAATGTTTCATCTTAGAAAATATTTAAGCTGAATTGCTAGTATAAAAGACCAGGATTATATTAATTTAGCAGGTATTTCGCTCTTCTCATTTTTTTTTTTTCTGTATGGATTTTCCGCTAACAGATTGATGGGGTAAATTCTTTCCATTGTCTCAGTCTAGACAGCAGCTAGATTAGGATCAAAACAAATGCCAGTTCTCATTTGGCCAGGCACGTACTGACACTGCTTCGTTAACAATGCTATACAGGAAATGAAACATAATGCCACAGAAATTCTATGTATTTAGATAGTAATTTTCATGGTCTATCCAACACAGATTCTTGTCAAAAAAAAAAAAAAAAAAAAAAGAGGAAAAAAGTCTTATTAAAATGTATAATGCTGTATAATCTGTCAAAAAACCTTGGATAAGATATGCATGGCGTAGGTCAGTAAGAAAGTCTGGAATTCTTTTGTGAGCTATGACCTGACCCTCTCTGGTCGTGGCCAATTTCTCAGGCAGGAACCCTATGACATGATGAGTGGCCTTTCAAAGGGGCTGGGCAATTTTGTGGTTCAATGAGTCCTTACTAAAGTCAAGGTAAACAACATCCACAGCCGTCCACTCATCTACCCGTCTGTTTATCTCTTCAAAGGTGGCTACCCAGTTGGTTAGGTAAAATTTTCCCTTTAAAAATCTATGTTTAATACTCCTGCTCACCCTCCTTTCCTTCATGTGTCTGGAAATTGCTTCCAGAATTAGTTGTTCCACCAGGTTCCCAGGAATCTGGGAAGATTCTTAGGGAATTCTGGGAGAAGAAATTCTCAGGGAATTCTGGGAGAAATCCCAGTGAGATTCCTGGAGCATCTGCCCTGTTTGAAGATTGCTCTCCTCCAGTCTCCAGGAACCGCTCTTGATTGCCCTGAGCTTTTAAAAGTAAGAGTGGCCTGCAAGGACCTGGCTGCCTCCCTCAGCACTCATAGGTACATCCCATGAAGGCCCATGGCCATGTGGAGGTCCAGTTTAGGTGTTCCCTAACCTGGTCCTTGTCTACCAAGAGTGACACTGGCACTGAAGAGGAAGTGAGTCTGTGATTGTTTCTTCATGATTGTGCTGAAGAACATTAGTGTTAGGTTGATGAGGCTGAACTCACCAAAGATACCGGCAACATGGTAGGTGGCACAGATTTTTCATTTGAGACCATGCCCAATGACCGTTTCAAGGAAACAGAAAAGTAATGTTATTGTAGCTGTAATGTTACACTAACATCAATGGGAAAACATTGCCTGGGGAAGAGTGCAGTGGTTTCCTTAGAAGGCTCTGTGGGGACATCCTTTGCTCTGTACTGAGAGAACCTTTCTGCTACTCTGCATGCTGCATGCTGCCTAGAGACCTTGGGCATCCTTGAAATACCAGAGAACCAGGTTCAGGCTAGGAATTAGGAAAAAATTCTGCACAGAAGGAGTTGTCAAGCACTGGACAAGGCTGCCCAGGGAAGTGGTGGAGTCACCATCCCTGGCAGTGTTGAAGGAAGGTGCAGATGAGGCACCTGGGGTCACGGTTTAGCAGGCATGGTGGTCATGTGTTTGTTGCTGGACTTGATGATCCTGAGGGCCTTTTCCAACAACACTGATGCCTCGGCCCAGGCGTCCCAGGCCCCGTCCCCATCGGCGGCGCCCAGTGCCGCCGTTACCGCCTCAGCGCGGCGCCAACTGCGCCCACCGCCCGCGGGCGGGGCCCGCGCGCCTGCGCAC